TTCTCACTATTGGTTTCTCAATTATGATCTTTAGGTAATATTTTTCCATCAACAATGAACTATAAAAAAAATGTAAATTCTGTAGATTTGTGACCACGATTTATACGTCCGTTCAGAGACCAATGCCAGTATATGGTAAGAGCAAACAGTGGCAAGAACAGCTTGCCATAGTTAAGTCCAACTTAAAGTCGATCTTAGTCTTTGTGAAACACCCCCAGGCTGGTTAACAGCCCAACGGTCCACCAATGAGGTATTGGAGCCACATGTGATTCTATACGCAGCTTTCATTGCAAGGGATTTCGTCTTTATGGACGATAATGCTCGAGCACACCTTGCCAAAATCAGCAACCAATACTTGGAAGATAACGGGCTCGAGCGCATGGAGTAGCAATCAAGAAACTCCTGCATGTAATCACATCGAACAGCTTTGGGACGACATCAAGCGAACAGTCCAGAATAGAGTCAAAAAGGATATTCTTTTAGGAAATTCTAAAGGCTAAATGTATTTGCGTGTTTACATAATAAAGCTTTGATCGGATTGAAAGGAGGCCGTCGTTTGACTAATGTCAAATGTGAGAGATAGTCTAACAGTCATTAGCATTCTGTGACCATTGCAGATTTAAAAATTAGAAATGTATCACGGTGGACTAATCAGTACCTTGTACTTGGTCTGTCATCTTTAGGGGATCCAGCCATCTCTTCAGTTTCTTTAGAAAGTTTCTTTCCCATCGTGAAGGTATCCAAGCTGAGAAGAAATGTCAACATACACATAGAGAAACATAAATTATAAATAATCACAAACATGGGGTCCACCATATGGCGGTTCAAGATTTGCCTGCATGGGGCGCCAGTCCTGAAAATTGACTAGTTCACTATTTTAAACAAAAATTAAATATTATAGACGTTTTGTTTCCTGGGAACCTAGTGATGAATTATTCCATTAACGTGTTATTAATGACGAACTACAGTACTTAGAATCAAGTCTGCTTGGATTATGTGTTGCTATGTCGGGCCAGCCTCGGGCAAACTTTAGGGTTGTCAAGCACAGCCTTTGCGTACATAGTATGCATACAATTTGAATATGTTAATAAACCGGTTATCGGTGATTCTACGAAAAGGAGAAAGGACGCAACCGTGTTTTGAACAAAACGCGTATCAAGATCAGAAATGATACATGCTGGTCTAACTCAGTCATTAGCATTCTGTGATCAGTGCAGATTTAACAAGTACAAATGTATCACGGTGGACTAATGCTTAACATAATCAGTACCTTGTACTTGGTCTGTCATCTTTAGGGGGTCCAGTCAGCTCTTCAGTTTCTGTAGAAAGATTATTTCCAATCGTGAAGGTATCCAGGCTGAGGAGAAAATAATAGAGATAAATAAATGATAAATAATCGAAAACATGGGGGGTCCACCATATGGCGGTTCAAGATTTGCCTGGAGGGCACCAGTCCTACAAATTTTATTTTCTGGGGGCCCTAGTAATGAGTTATTCCATTAACCTGTTATTTATGACTGATGTGTTGTTATGTCGGACCAGCCTCGGGCAAGCTTTCCGCTAGAATTTTCTTTGTTTACAAAATTTGCATACAATATGAATATATTACAGAACCGGTATATTCCTAAAGAATTTCAGTTTTAGGGACTTTTTAACTCTCACTGCGTCTGTCACATAAATATATGAAACAAACAGTCGAGGTCCTTTCAAACACACATTGCTTCACCAAGAAAACGTAAATGGCGGTCAACTTGTATCAATGTTAAAGATAAGTTGAGTTCTGGTCATGCCATTGCATTGTGAAAGAAACGCTGTGGAATCGATCCGCAAAGTGTTTTCATCCAGCATATAAGTATTGGTGTGTACTGCGAGGTTCAGGAATCATCAACATGATAAGAAATTTGGCCCAGTCTTGGTAAAGATACAAACACTGTTCACAAAAAGATGTTTATGAGACTACACGAACATGTAGCATTACAATCCGTCCCGATTTTTATGATGTTACGTGCCATATTTAGACTATTAAGGCATTTGAAGAGCAATGCTTTTCAGGGAACATTTTGTATATGATGTTCATCCACACTTGCATAATACAATGATAACGCTCACATATTATTTTTCAACTCTTCCCAGAACTCAACTTTCTCTTTAAGAACATTTGTCAAGTATTCTAGATAGTTTTGAGAAAATCGCAAATTATGTGCAAGATCTTGGACAATGGTAAACAAATAAGGAATAATTCTTGTTTGGGGTATGAGAGGTCCCGGGTTCCAATCCCGAAAAGGCCTCCATAATTATGGCGATTTGGATTGCATAATTTAAGTGATCATTTATCACTGGCTTCGAACACTCACAAACGAAAAAATATTAAAATATATACATATATATATATGTAACATAATGATATACCTGCATGTGCGTTCCATACTTTAAATCTGCATGTAATTCCGTATGTATTTATTTGTTTGTTTGCTCTTGTGTTCTATCAGTCTATATACCATTACCTTTCATGTCCGTACCTCTCCTATTGTACTTTTGTAAATCAATCATGTATTGCATCTTTTGTGCAATTTTCGCCTTGGGAATTTGATTGTCAAGTGGATTTGGCATCTTACAAATCTGATGTTTTATTATTATTATTATTATACTGGGACGACACATTTTACCAAGGATATTTACGCGCATGTTTTAGAATTAGATGTGCTTTTTCATTGAAAAGAAAAGAATGTCCAGTCACATAAAATGTTACTTAAGAGAAAAGGTGATTAAAGTTCGCAGTCTAAACTTCTAAAGTCTTGTGCAAGGGAGAAAAAAAAAGGAAATCGAAATTCTATAGAAAAATCTTTGAATCTTTTATCAGATTGTGCTCAAACTCAGCAGACTAATAACGCCCATTCTGCCCTTTATCCTATCAAGGAATCAGAGCATTTGCTTAGTTAGGTTTATAGTGATTGGGGATCAAAATGAGCAAGGGTGGTAAGTAAAAACAACTACAAACAACTCAAAATCAGAAAAGAATTATGTCTACAAGGTACTGCCTAAATACCACTTTTAAATTGTTTTGTACTTTGACATTTTGCAATCACATAGAAAACAGTATCCATTTCCCGGAAATTCTATGTGATAAATGATCTTACTAAGTCGTCAGCATTCTGTGACCAGTGCAATTTCAACAATTATATATGTTTAACGGTAGACTTATGCTTAACATAGCTGTACCTTGAACTTGGTCCGTCATCCTTCTGTGGTTCAGCAATCTTTTTAGTTTTTTTAGAAAGTGTCTTTCCCATCGTGTAGGTATCTAGGCTGAGGAGAAATTTCAACATATAAATAGAGATAGATAAGTGATAAATAGTCAGAACATGGGGTCAATTATATGGCGGTTCAAGATTTTCCTGAGGCACAAGTCCTAAAAATTGCTTGGTTCACTAACAAAAACTGAATGTTATACATGTAGATGTTTCTTACGTGTTATTAATGAATGAAGTACAGTACTTAGAATCAAATCTGCTTGAAATATGTGTTGCTTTGCCAGGTCAACCTCGGGCAAGCTTTTAGGTTGTCAAGAACAGCTTTTGTGGACAAAGTATGCATACCATTTGAATATGTTAATACACCGGTCTATTCCTGACAATTTTTATTTTTCAGAGATTTTTGAACTCTCAATGCGCCGGGCATATAAATATATGTGACAAACAGTTGAATCCCTTTCAAACACACATTGCTCCAACAATATAAACGTTTATAGTGGTCCATTTGTATCACTGTTTAGTGCATGAGTCAATAATTCTAGATATCTTTGAGAAAGCTGCAAATTATGTACAAAATATTGGACTATGGTACACGAATGAGGAATGATTCTTGTTTAGTGTATGAGAGGTCCCGGGTTCCAATCATTGCGGAGATAGGGGTTTCATGATTTAAGAGATCATTTATCACTGACTCCGAACACTCACAATATATATATATATATATACATATATAACATAATGATATACCTGCATGACAACTTGGTTAAGGGTTAGATAGACTTACGACCCACGAGACCGACATTTTCCTATAATACCTTATGTTATTATTTGTGTTGTTGCTTTTGTTTATATACTAGGATGACACATTTTACCGACGATATTTATGCGTGTGTATTATAATTTGATGTGCTTTCGCATCTATTGTATAGATATGAAATACCTTATTTGCACTCTACTGGGTTGACTGAATCAAAACAGGCTCTAGACTTCCATGGATATCAAAATCTCTATTGAAGTGTATTAACAGAAGAAGGAAAAAGCCCAAGCCAAACTGTTTTTAATTGATTGTAGATACTGACACTAAAAACAAGTTTGACACTCTTATATCTTATATCCGGGGATGGATGTTCAGGGGATAGGTGTCTTAGTATACAAATAATGGATGGTTATGAGTTGAAAAATTAACGTTAATTCTATTCAACTCGGCTGACGTCTCGTTGAATAGAATGTTAATCTTTTAACTTATGCAAATATTCGCACTATTGAACGAATGAAAAACATTCATTATTTGTTTTATACAACATCGAAGAAGAATAAATTAAAGTTGGAGTCAAGACTTCTCGATTACATTCAGATTGCCTTCGCGTCAGATACACGCATGGATACGCGCAAGGCAGAGAGGTACACAGTCTGCATAACCAAAAAATACACGGCGAATTTAACCCAAAATGCACGCCCGTGCAATAGAACATCTATTGAATATTATGTGACCAACAATCCTCTAATCAAATGACAAAGATCCACGTAGGTGTTGTATAAAATCGGAAAGATGATATTCATTCTCTCAGAACCAAATGGAGAAGATTACATAAAATATTTATTTATTTTTAAAATCTAAATTTGGGCCTATTCAGAAGCTGGGAATACACCCATCATGCATCATCATGAAACATTGGACTAAAAAATCTATGCAAATTATGCAAATTGCTCAACATTGCCCGAATGTTGAAATTGTTCTCTACCGACAAGATGTCACAAATGACCACCATGATCACCAACTACAACAACAACAAACATCATCACATCTTCAACGGAAAGATCTTTCTTAGGTTCATTAAATGAAAAGTTTAACTATCCTACCGGGGCTTTTGGGGTAATCATTTCGATCAAGATGATGTTCCAAACGTTACCAGATCCAAAAAGCGAAGTCTAGAAAGAAAACGGGTTTCCTTGCATAATTTGAATACTAGGACACTACTAACGTTTAAATTTCATAGATTGGACATACGTGAGATATTCTTAAATCCTGCAAAGTTCTTCAGAATTTGATGATGGCTGCAAAAGGGATGCTTTTAAGACATGCTAATGTGAGTATAGTCCACCTTTTCATCATTACCACAAAACTAAAAACATTTATTCATATTGTTTATGATATTTACTAAGGATTAGGGTTTCTGCAATATATACATGGATTGTATGTAACTCTATTTCGATGAGGTTACATATAGTGGCTATTGATTGGATCAACAAATTTAAATGTAACGAGTCAAAAATTGATATATTATACTCACTGTTTGCCTAGATCCTGCTCAATTCAAAATGAATCATGGAATGAGACGTCGAGTCCTCTCCTCAGAAATATTTATCCAATTGTAGCCGAGCTAAAAGGATTCACACATAATTTTAAACAGTTCAAATAAAAGTAACTGGCAACAAGAAACATCAGAGGTCTCTTGGAGAACGCGTAATAAAGGCGTTTGCAATGTCTCTTTCGCTTGATATGAGGAAAATTTGTCTCTGTGTCATGAATCCGGTTTTGCACAGATGCCAAAACATGCAGTGTCGAGGAAAATAATCTATAACGCTAAAACATGCAGTGTGTCGAGGAAAATGATCCTTAGCTCAAATGTGCTTCGTTCCATCAGATTTAAATATAGATGTGACTAAGAACCCACATCAAATAATCCGTATTTCACAATTTTGTGACGTTGAGAAAGTACCTGGTGTACGTCAGTCTAGCCAAGTGGTCCAAAAACCAAACAAGAGGAAATTTACACAACAAGGGCTGTCCAAAGTCCAAACAAACAAAATAATTAATATCTTTTGCTCAGTGAGTCGGCCCTGATCACAGAACTGTAAAATATGTATTTTACAGTTTTGTGGTCCTGATGGGGATTGCGATGCAAACCAAATCACGTCATATAGTGGGCATAGTTGGCATTCCGCATAGCCAGTGCAAACATTAGTCTCTTCCTGGTAGATACAAATTATTGGGGAGAGGGGGGGGGGGGGTCTAATATATATCGACTGCCGCCGCCTTTGAGTACTTTTGCCATAATTCAGTAATTCGGGATTATCTTTCCAACAATACACATTTGTCCTTACCCGTGGAGACAATTTTCATGTTGCTAAAATGTCAATGTATGGGCTGAAGAACTAAGCAAATGTAACTCCGCAGCGTTAAGCTAGCAATGTAAATTGAAACTATTTACGTATGAATAATAATAATAATAATAATAATAATAATAATAATAATAATAATATTGGATTCTGTATAGCGCTCATCTCTATCAGACTTGACACTCCTGGCGCTCCAGATTATTATTGGTATAATGTTTATTTTTACAGATTGGTGCAAACGGCAAGATCACTCAAGCAGACAGAGGAGATGTGTCAAAACTACGAAACCTTTGGTGACTTCACCCTCGACTTAACAGCTGCTCTCAAATCCTTCCAGGAACTCGATTTCACCAAAGGTATATTTTCTAGTTTTGCTCGACTCTTTAAACCGCATTGTAATCTGCCGGTAATCTCGGACCATTTCGTATACTCCCAATTTCTTTCACTTGCTTGCGCTTGAAACATGATTGTGTCTTTTTTTCATCTTTGCTAATACTCTGACAACTGTTTCCACATTTTGATTCTTTGTTCTTCTTCTACGTTCATCCACTGGACTTTAAATCGAGAGGGTTACGGGTTCATGTGACCTCAGTCACATCAGACAGGGCATTTTAATTGCAACTGTTTCTCTCGACCCAGGTTTTTAAAACTGTTTATTTGTAAGTTACTTTGCGACTGCTGGACACGAAAGTCGACGTTTTCACCTTCTTCCAATTCGTCAGGATTAATTTCCCTTTTTCACATAAAATCTCACTTTTGCTCCATTGATTATTTTGTATTTTTATTGTCGAACACGATGATCCATAATGGTACTAATCACTCCTCTAAATGAACAGTATGTTGGGTATGCGTCTGTCGCATACCCGATATTGCGCGGAAACGTTCTCTTAAAAATTAAAATGATAGTTTATTGCATTTCATTTATTTCCTTCAACGTCAAGATAAAAACAATATTACATATCTTTTTATCTTGCAGCTCCTGGCAAGCCAGTATTACAGCCGAAATCATCCAACCGTTATACCTGTCTCGAATGGACGCCACCGACCGATGGGGGCGCTGTTGCCTCTTACTCTGTGGAGTACATAAAGCTCGACACCAAACAGACGACAGACGAAGGTATAGAAAGACCGACCAGCCTACCGCTCAACAACGCTAGCGACGACCTAGATGAATCCGAGAATGACGAAGATTGGACCACGATTTCGGGACTGACGGAATGTCGGTATGAACAAAGCAATCTTGAGATGAATTCTTCGTATAAAATTCGGGTGAAGGCTGTTAATCCTGCGGGGACGAAATCAAGCGAGTGTATACTTTTGAAAACACCGCCAGCTCCAGGTATGAAACCATTTTTATTTGGCATAACAAAAAAACTTAAATAAAAGAAGTTTATGAATTGTAACTCAAATAACCTACTGATCAATAAATCAGTGTCAATATACAAGACTGTCTACCATTTTGAGGTAGAAATGTAATACAGACTTGTCGGCTTTCAGGCCATGATGAGTCACTATTACATGTCCTTTCACAACACATGAATCTAAATTTCCCACTCCATACCCAGGAGACAAAGTGGAACTTGGAAAGGATGAGGTAATACTGATTCCGGTAAAAAGCATACAATATGATACATTGTTTTTGATGTACCTCAAATAGACTTGAGGCTATGAAATTAGCAAGCTATCAGATATTCTTTAAAAAAATCAAGTTTCCCAAACCGGGTGACAGAATTCTTTCCTAATGATTCATGATGCTGGTAAATATATATTTGGTAGTACTTTTATGTTTTAAATCTAGGACGTTGTATGGCCTCCCTCTATAGTGAATAACAAGTATTTAAGCCAGAGATTTTACAGGAACCATGTTTCAGATGTGTAACGTTCATGCTTGGACTTTAAAATACGATAATTATTGTCTTTCGTTTCCAGTGCTGCCTTTCAAGTGGATCCAGTGCCAATCCAGCGTTGCTCATACATCATCAAAGGTTCGAAAGGACGGCCAGGAGGTCCTCGTCTCACCAACATCAACATTGTTCTCCTCGAACTCCAGCTCGTTCCCGACCTCGCCCATCGCTCTCGAACCCGTCCACACTGGGAGACAAGAAGCTGACGACGGGGAAACACTACTGGGAAGTCCAAGTTGACAAGTCCACTCTCGCTATCCACGTCGGCATTGCCAGTGAGCGCATGGCCGAACGCTTCAGCCGCAGCAACGGCGGAGACGCCATTGCTGATCGCGACAGCGGGCATGACAGTAGCGACGAACTGGACGACGAGGTTTCGTTGCAGGATCCCACCGTATTCGTCACGCATTGCATGGGCAAGCTGACACTGCCGTCTCCGACGTCGTCGCCAAAGAAGACCTCGAGCAGGGCACCGTTGAAGGCTTCAAGTCCCAGGTCGTGTAATATTGAGTCCAATGTTATTGGTGTTCTCTTAGACGCTGAGGCTGGGAAAGTGTCCTTCTATGATGGTTCTTCCAAGGAATGTCTCTTCTCGAGGAAGATCAAGGTAACCGGTTTGATCCAACCCGCTATATCCATCATCGGGTCTGGAACAGCTAGAATGAATTAATGATGGACATGGCCGCGATCACTTCCCCCTAAACAGATACAAATATACATTGAATTGTTCTGCTTGAAGAAACAATAGTAGTTTTTAGAAATTATAGATACAATACGAGAACTAAACATTAAGAAAACCTCTCAAAGCATGTTCTTTATGTTAATTCTAATTGATAAACAAAAGTTCATTCCGCGCTTATGGACCAACAAGAATTTTTAATATCGACCTGTATCAATGAATTGTCAACTGTATAATTGATTTTGTTAATGTGAATATTATTTTATCAATGGGCTATACACCCTTTCACGGTTACAAGAGTGCGCATGCGCAGCCAGGGGCGCCAAAGTTATTTACTCGTAATTTAAGATGGCGCCCATGTAAATATGATGTGAGCGCACAGCGCAGGCAGTGACGAAGCAATACATGCGCATCTGAAAACATTGATGACGTAATGTTTACCCGTAAATTAAAATGGCGGCTTTAACCGTAAAAGAGTGTAGTCAGCGTTGATTGAGTTCCTTTACAGTCTGTTGTTTGAAATCCTACAAAACGTGTAATGAAAATAAAGTTGAAGTGAAATATCAATTATTACTTGATATTGAATACGGATCGACAGTCGATAGATTAAATGACAAAAAAAGTTCCAAACGTCTAGCACAAGATCTACATTTTAGCTTGCACAAGATATATACTACGAGTTTATTTGTGTTTCATTAAAAATATATTTGCCATGTTATCCCCTTAACTTTCTCTGTATTTGACCAATCAGAGCCTACCTTTCAAAATTGTAAACGTGAAAATCTAAATGCTGATTGGCTATTACAATATTTGCGTTTGATTGCAGAAAGTTGCAGGCCATTTCCACTTTTAAAGGACATTTTTGGTACAAGGGATGTTATTTTTAAAATATCTAATGCTGCATGTGGCAGTTCATGATAGCTTGTGTCAGAAATATATCGGGAATTGGATGCAATAAAATACGTCAGTGGTAAAAGTTGAAATGTCATACCGGCTTTTTATGATGAGAAATTTAAAGTACACGAAATTATGTTGGTAGTAACAGCGACAGTTGTAATCTTTTATTGTGCATGGATTTGTAAAGTGAGTTATTATATAATTTTTGTATGGGGTAAATGATAATCTGTATAATATGATAATGATGATGAGAATGGTAAATTATGAGTGATGATGATGATGATTATTATAATGATGATAATGGTATTCAACAGTTTTGATACTGTTAGGATTAATATTGCTAATCATTATTATTGTCATTGGTTGTATTCATTATCTTCTTCTCCATCATCGCTATCGTCGTCATCATCGTTGGCATGGTGGGCGTTTTCATCATCGTCTTCATCATCATCATCGTCCCAATCATCATCATTATCTATTTTTGAATCACTACTGTTTAAATTATATTTTTCTTCACCCTTTGTATGTAAGCTTTCGAGTTTATTTTTTTAATTAGACATATCATTCCCCTTGTTTCTTGATTGAATTCATTTGTATTCCTCTAAATAACTGATTAAAATTGTGAAGATTGTAATTATGAGTCATCTCTTTTTAGTACCGAGTGATTTAGATCATCTACATTTGGGTGTTGGTTCAGTTACATTTCATATGATAATTATAATGAAAACAATAATTATGCTGCTAAGGAACGATTTTAATTCATTTATGACAGATTATATTGTAGCGTTTTATCTTTCGCCTGCTAACCAGTCAACAGGGTATTTTTAATATTATTCTTTCACGCAGTCAATACGCATAAAAACTGTCGCTGATGCACAGTGCTGTTACTATTTCTACACTTAAATGCAAAGCCGTTTATGAGTGATGGAATAATTTATCGCTTAAGTGGCTGCTCAAAGTCCTGTTTTATACGGTGTTGATGCTAAGATTTGTAGTAACGAAAATGTTTGTTAGAAAGATTTATTTCAGAGAGGAACTGTATAGCACCTTAAGCGCTTTATACGCTAGTTATTACCAAACGGAATAGAAAATGCCTTTTGTTTATGTGTGAAATAATTTGTGTGCAATGTCTTGTAGTATGACTTGTTCGAGAGATACCGGCATGTTTTTCATGATAAAAGGGATGAATTAAGTTTTGCCTTTTTAATGTATAGATTCAATATGTTGCTGATCAAGTTCAAGTGCCTCTTGAGAAAATTACGTGCAATGTTTATAGAAAAAAAGAAAAGCTAGAAGAAAAAACAATCATACGTGCATTGTAGAGTTAGTATTCAGGTTTAATAAAGAAAACTACGAAGGTTTCAGTTGAATTATATTATGTATTCAGTGTACAGATAGATTTTTATTGAATTGCTTTATTATTATAATCATAGTTTTTAAAAATCACATTAAACGATTGTTATTGAAGGATGAAGATAGTAAGATGATGGTGAAAATCTAATCTTAAGAGAAAGGATGTTGCGGAGCTTATCGTGCGGCTGCAAATATCTTTCAATTGATTTTAATGCTATTTCGAAGCTGTGTACATCGATGGATATTTTCGTTAGGGTTATGTTTTGCCTTTTGCTGTCGTATTGTGAATAAATCTTTGTCACAGCAATATTATTCATTTGTGTTATGTAAATTGTTTGCTTATGAGTTTAACCGGGTACATACAAATAAAAAATAGTTTCTTCCTGTATTTTATTCACTTTCAGAAATAACTCAATAACTATCTATTTCTGTGTCTATACCTCACTTTTTATTCTGTATTTTATCTTCCGCTATCCCACTTTTCCTACATCTATACATTTCAAACACACACACACCCATACACACCCACAAATATAGAAAAATAACAAAACAATCCACCCCACCTATCGAAGTACAGTGTAAATGCATCGTAGTACAGTTTCATGCAATAAAGACATTTTGCATATCCATTCATTGCTCATTTCTGCTTTCATTTTAATTAAAATAAAATCATTTGTATTATTCATTTTCGCTTCCAATTCATATGTTCAATACTTTCCAATTTCTATCTCTAAAACAGGAAACACAAGTTTTATTTCAGATTAGAGGCGAGCCAATCCCTATTGTTTTGTATTGCAAGGACCATTAACTCATTTTCTTTCGCAAAATAATATGTTATTCATACAATTATTAATTTTTAATTAAATTTATCAATTATTTTATCAATCATTTAGCTATGTCTACACCTGGTACGTTTGTGCTTCTCCTTATTCTAATGATCTGTGTACCGAACCTTGTTTTTCAACGCAAAGAAAGAAGTAGACCCCGCCCCTATCGTCCAATTTGTTAATAGATGCATCAATTCAGTGTTGGCATACATGTACTATTGCTCGATATATAGACTTTGAACTGTGACCTCCTGAAGTGTAAAAGGCGCACGCCGGTAGCTTTTGTAGCTTTTCTTGTTTACTCAGACCCAGAATTAAAAAAAAATGTTTGTTGGAGGGAAGGGAAAACAAATCATGTGCATCACGAGACATTTTTTTTTATAAGCATGCCCTAATAAACAAAACCTCGTGACGAACCACGAGTTGTTCCAACAAAGCGCACCAATTCAATAAAAGTGGGGTTTAACATTTGCAAAGTTTTTATCCAGAACGAGAGAACAAAATAATGTTCTTTTCAAAGTTAAAAGTATGTACAAATAAATGGCACGAATATAATGTACATAGCGAGTAGCTTCATTGAAGTCTTGATAAAGACCATTATTAAAATTCCTTATTCATGTCAATCAATGCAGTATAATTTTGACTGCAACAAAAAGCCCTATACAGAAGACTAGTCTGTCACGTTTAAAATACAGGTATAATATCAATAAACATGAACTTTGTAAGTTATGATATGCATGTGATATCATATAGTTTATAACCTGGGGTATCTGCAGACTACTGGGTACCGAAGTTTTGGTGTTGGTTTTACTTGGTGTTAACTTTGAAGTGCTGTGGACATGGTGATAACTGGATTTGACAGAGAAAAACGCTGTCACCGTGTAGTGTGAGGTATTCTTGGGTGTTTTCGTCACGGATTCGTAGAAAACAGATTGACGGAAACCCATTGTAGATATTTTAGTATTTGAATAAGCTAGAGTATATGATAAAGCGCATTGTTCAATCATTGCATTGTCAACATAAACGCGATATATACTCAACATGGCGAGAAGTCTAGTGATCATCGCTGTGCTGGTGGTTGTGCTCCATGAGTCATACGGTCGCCCGTCAGAGTCGACAGCGTGGACGAGCTGGAAGACACAGCACGGTAGACGGTACTCAACGAAGGAGGAGGAGCTCGTCCGATGGAAGACGTGGGTCAAGAACAACCGACTCGTCGACGAGAACAACAGAGCTTACGATGAGGGAAGACGATCGTTTAAGATGGCGATGAACGACTTAGCGGATCAGGTAAGATATGCTATAGTAATGAATCCATTAACAATAGAAGTGGACATGTTCCTGATGGGAACACCGTTACATATTACTTTTGGTAATGTTTATTTATGACATTCTAAAACTTGACTAGTTTGTTTCACTGACTGATTTTTAAAGAGTTACGTGATCGCATGGGGTGTTCTCCAAACGTTTAAAGTAATGGTGCAAAATATTAAGCGTGGCAACCAAAAAGAGGAAATGCTTAATTTTGTAGAAAGCACGAGTTATAAAATAGGCCTATGTGACGCTTTTTATCGACATTTAACTCATAAATGTCAACCAATATCAAGCTCGATTTGTCTACGAGGTATCCTTAATTAACGTAGAATTTAAAAAAAAAAAAATTGTTGTTGAATGATTCCCCAATATGTTATGTTTCTCGGTTTAACTATATTTAGAGCATGCGCCTGAATAATGTGTTATGGGACATTGGGATGACGCATATAATACCAAATAAAATCATTGTTCTCTGACTTAATCATGCCAATATTGACTACTAACTTAAAGTTTGCATACAGTTTTCTTTACCGAAGATTCTTATTCTTAAATTTACAATCGCTACAGGATATGAGTACAGTTCAAAACAAGTTTGACGTGCAAGCGAACCTACTCAATGCAGAAAGAAAGCGCAAGTCGTCAGGGACATCATCATCGTCATCGACTTTACCGTCATCATGGGATTGGAGAAAGGAGGGCAAGGTCAATCCTGTCAGGAACCAAGGCCAGATGAATTTAGCTCTGCCGATGAATGTAGCTGGTTAGTTGATCAGGGCAGCGTTTCACGAAACCATCACAAGTACAAGTTCGCTGACATCCCATTGAAGCGGACGCATTGTAATTAGCACACTTTTCAATGGGATGTCGGTGAAACTGAACAATGACGGTTTTGTGAAACGGTGCCCTATATCCTGTAATTATTTGTTATTTCAATGCCGTTCTCGCGATGAAATAAAATGTTTCGTTGAGTGTTTTCGCAGCCAAAATTTGAAAGTTAATCGTTAACTTATTGAACTCAAATGGCTGTTGAACACGAGGCGTCATTTCGTATGCGTCATTACCTTCGACTTCGATGTCGACGAGCGACCAAACCAATGAGTTCCGACAAGGGCATCGCCAACGCCGCTTGTCTGAGCTACCTGATGTTGTCATCGAAGGCGACTCGATGATCAAGCACATCGAGGGCCGACTCCTGAGCCGAAAACATCGAGTAGTCTGCCATCCGAACCCAGGGGCAACGGTGGCTGATATCTCCTCTAAGAAGGCTACTGAGGGTGTAAAGGCGAAAGGAGACGTCATTCTACATGTCGGGTCAAATGACTTGTCGAAAGGTAATGGTAGTACATCCACCGCCGATGACATCATAGCATTAGCAGACGTGATTGCAGCAAAAGGCTGTGATGTATGCTTATCTGGTGTTATACACCGCAGATGGGAATCGGTTCACCAGAGGCGCAGTGTCGACGGGGTTAATGGGCGATTGAGAAGAGCTGCCCGTGAAAGGAGATGGGGTTTCGTTGACAACGAAAACATAGGTGACAGGCACCTTGGCAGAGATGGGGTCCACATCAATAAGGCAGGACAAGCTGTTCTTGCCTCGAATCTACGCCACTTTATTGAGCGACCTCAAGGGCCACCTACACCTACTCAGCAAATGTCCTACGCTGAAGTTGTTGGATCTTCAACGCAGGATTTCGAGATGATTGCTCCGAGAGGGAGGCTAAAGTCTGCACCTGCTCTTCCAATGTTTCCACTGACAAAAGCTCAACAGGGGTGGCACGAGCATCTACGTCTCGTCATGGCAACATGCTGTTAAACTCTGTCTCTGGTACTGGCATACTACATCATAATCTTCAGGATCAATCTCATGAACTGAATAAGAGTAACATTAAACAGTTGGAAGGTGGTTCAGTTCCTCCGTTTAGAAACAGGGGCTTAAAATTTGCCCATTTGAATATTCATAGCTTAGTTGCTAAGATTGACGAACTTAGATTACTTCTGAGAAATGCATCATTTGATGTTATTGGTTTAAATGAAACATTTTGCGACTCCATGATTGATGATTCTGAATTGTATATAGATGATTATATTTTATTACGTAGAGACCGTACGAGACATGGTGGTGGTGTGGCTGTATATATATCCAAGAGGTTCAATTATAAAAGAAGGGATGATTTGATTTCATCTACTTTAGAATGCCTTTGGTTTGAATTGCATTATCCAAATAAGTCTCCCATCCTGGTTGGAGAGTTTTACAGACCTCCAAATTCTCACGTTGATTTCTTTGAAGAATTAGACGGAAATATGGACGCTGCTCTCTCGCAAGATATGAGCTGTATTATTTTAGGTGATTTCAATTGTGATTGTATGCCACACCAACTTGATCTGAATGCTGAAAAGTTAATTTTTTATACAAATATGTACGGGCTAAGTCAGCTAATTGATACTGCCACAAGAGTTACAAATACCTCTTCTACTTTAATTGATTTGATATTTGTATCAGACAAGGAACTTTACAATGAATGGGGAATATTTGAAACTAGCATAAGTGATCATTATTTGGTGTATACGGTTCGCGATTTTAGTGCAAAGATCCATAACAAATCTGAATACGCAGAATTTCGCTCGTTTAAAATCTTGACGAGGAGAAATTTTACAGTGAATTGAGAAGTACTCCTTGGCAGGTCATAAAAGATATAGATAATGTTGATGTTGCGTGGGATATGTGGTTGACTCTATTCAATAATATAATCAACAAGCACATACCAGTATGTAAAAAGCGGATAAGAAAAAAGGCATGTCCATGGATATCTGACGAGATTGTTAAGCTTATGACGGAACGTGATAAAGTTCTCAAAGCTGTTAAAGCTAACAAAAGTGATGATCTTTGGGACACCTACAAATATCTAAAGAATACAGTTATTCATCTCATGAGGAAAAGAAAAAGAGAATATAATGCAGACCAGATCTCGCAAAATCATAACAATAGTAAGCAAATGTGGAGATGTTTGAGAAACCTTGTGCCTAAGTCATTACCTATATCTCCCAATAGCATAAATGTTGATGGTGCTAATGTGTCAGACAATGCAAATATTGCTGAAGCTTTTAATGACTTTTTCATTTCTAATGCTACTAAGATTACAAAGGACCTGCGAAGGAATAAGTCTCAACTGAGAGTAGACGAGGACAATAATATTGGTCCAACTCATTCGCAATTTAATTTAAATTTGATTACTAAGGATTTTGTATTGAAACAGATTGATAATCTGAGTATAGATAAAGCAACTGGTGAAGATCACATCAGCTGTAAACTTTTAAAGATGACGAAGAATGTTATCTCAGAGTCTCTTTGTGATATCATTAACAAATCCCTGTCTACAGGAGTTGTTCCACGTGAATGGAAAAAGGCTCGGGTAGTACCAATATTCAAATCTGGAGATATTTCTTCTTTGAATAATTACCGCCCCATTTCAATATTACCTATCGTGAGTAAAATTATAGAAAGGGCCGTCCACCAACAACTCAGTGAATTCTTGGACGTGAATCAATTATTACACCCTAATCAGTCTGGTTTTAGACCTAAACATTCAACAGCTACTGCACTTGCAAAACTTGTAAATCAATGGTCGTTGAATATTGATAACAAAGAGATTTCTGGAGTTGCCTTCATAGATCTTCGTAAGGCTTTTGATACTGTTGACCATAAGCTACTTCTACATAAACTAGCTTGTATAGGGTGTAGTAATAGGACTATTTATTGGTTCAAATCATATTTAGGGGATCGACAACAAGTGACCCAATTTAAAGGAGCCAAGTCGCATCCATCAACCATCAAATTAGGTGTGCCACAAGGTTCAATTCTTGGTCCCCTTTTATTTTCAATATATGTTAATAGTCTACCTGAATGTACTCCTGAAGGTATCATAGATATGTATGCTGACGATACGACACTTACCGTCAGTGCAAATGATGCAACTGTTGTGGAAGAAAAATTAACTGTTGCGTTAAACAGAGTCATGGCATGGATTAAGGAAAATCGTCTTGTTCTTAACACTGAAAAAACTTGTGTCATGTTAATAGGCTCTCCTGCTAATCTCAAGAAAATTGAATCTTTCACCATTTCATTAAACGGCAATTTGATCAAAAGAGTTCAATTCACCAAATGCTTAGGACTTTTGATAGATGAAGAATTGAAATGGTCTAAACAAATCGAAAACGTAAGTAAACTTACCCAGAAAAACATTAGCATGATAAAGAGAGCAAAGAGTTTTTTGCCTCAAAAATCCTTAAAGTTACTTTATAACAGTCTAGTGTTGCCACGATTAGATTACTGCTCTGTTGTATGGTCGAACCGATTTCATTCTCATACAACTAAGCTGCAAAAAATTCAAAAGAGGGCCGCAAGAATAATATTGAACAAGACATATGACACACCGTCGGCTGATTTGTTCACAAGTCTTAAATGGATGACACTAGACAAGCGGTTTGAGTTAAGTCGTGTTATGATGATATATAAATGCGTTCATAACTTAGCACCTTCTTACCTTCAGGTAGGCTTAATCAATCCTAATGATGTACATGAGCATCATACAAGGCAAATAGACAGTGGATGTTTACGTGTGCCTAGATTTCACACTGATTGTTATAAGTGTAGCCCAATTGTTTCTTCCATATTTGAATGGAATAAGCTAGATAATTCATTGAGAACGGCTTCCTCTGTCAATTCATTTAAGAGATTGTTTAAACAAAGTTGTAATTTGTGAATGGCTCAGCCGTATAAACACTACGTGCATGTTCTGTAATATTGACATGACTTATTCACATAATTGCGACTTAATTAATATTTTTCCTATTGACATTACTGTTTACTAGGTTTATGATATACGTTTATTTTGCAAACGAGTATTATTTTTGTAACTGTTCTGTATAAATGTTATAAACGATGTAAATATGTTCATTCAGGGCCCCATGGAAGACCACTACTTGCTGGTGAATGGGCTACCCTGTCAAAAGATCAGAAATAAATAAATAAATAAAATAAATTACCCGCGCTCATATCTAGCCTGTAAAGGTAAAGTCCCTGTCCCACTGACCTCCTGGGCTGTCCCGGAGCGTACCGGACTGAAATTTGGCCGATCCGCGGTCAGATCCGTGTTAGATTCATGTTGGGTCCGGGCTTATCCGGGACAGTCTTGGATGGTCTGTCATGATCCGGAACACCACCCCGGCAATTTTAAACTGTTTAAAATTGCTGTGGTCAGCCCGGACCGTCCGGGAGGATTTTTCAATACGGAGTAGTCCGGGAAGGTCTGTAGTGGCACCGTGTTGATCTTGGGCGATCCTGGGTGATCCGGCATGTCGTGTTGGACTCCCCGGAGCACCCCGCACCATACACAGTTAATGCCGGACCAAGTACAGATGACCACGGGTGAACACGGACCTAACACGGTGCGATCGACGTTGCGAACAGGGATTGAACATAGGTCGGTCCGTGATTGGTCCCGGGACAGTTCATAGCTGATCCGGGATTGTCCGGGGATCTGTATTGACACCGTGTTGGTCCGGGTTGTTCGACTCAAATTCACACAGGATCACCACTGGATTAAGATATCTCTTGATCGGGGGTGTTTCTTGTTAATCCGGGGTCCTCCGTATTGGGTCCAGCTTCGGTGTGAATTAGGCTTTAGAAATATTTAAAGTCAATTGTGTTCGCATCGTTCATTTGCAATCATTTTTGTACGATGATACCCTTACATTTCACGGCAGGGACTGGATCAGTTGTTGACGCAATCTTGTGTAACGGGTTTTGCGTTCATTTTTACCCTTGCATATGATACATGGCGATGTAGAAGGAAGGGTAAGCGTTTGCTGGCTATCATAGTTGTATGATGTGAAGGGCGTGGAGCTGTACCCCTCCTCCTCTCCCCGTTATTACTTGTGATTTGTTAACATCACCCACACATCTCCTGCAATCATCTCATCCCTACTAGCCACCTGCTTAGCATACTTGGAGGCACTCCTTTTCCGAAGGTTCATATCAATTCCGAAGAGTTCCCCGAGCAGGGGCTCATAATTCCTGAACATGTTGATGTCATTTGTTGCGGTATAAATTCATAATTCAGAAAACGAAATAGTGTACGGTATTCCAAAGGTTATACTAATTTCGAAACAAATAAAAACGGAGTTCTATGTTATCAGTGTCACTTTCAGAATTTCGGAATTACGAATCCTTTTTTATTTTTGAAGACACGACCCTTTGGAAGTTTGAACCTTACTAGGAGTAACTAACCTTCATAATTATCAACATTTGGGATAACAGCATGTAACCATCACACCACTATATTGATATTCCATTTAGATGCCGTAGCTAGCTACTCGTCCATCTACGACCAGACTTACCTGTACGCACTTTCCGTCGACGAGGTGGTTGACTGTTGTCTTCCTGATCCCTTCGAACACCCTCACGTCTTCGACTGCGTGCACGATCACGACGGGCTGTGTCTGGACGGTTCCTATCATTCTGGCTCTGCTCCGAACGTCTGCAATAACGCATCGTGTAAGGCCGTCGCATCGGTAGGTAGTTTTGGTCAATTTTTGAAAATGTTGACAGGTGGTAGAGGGAGGCTGGGGAGGGGGGGGGGGAATCCGGCTAACTTTTCGGTGAATTTGGTCTCACACTGACTACATCCCTCCCCCTTTAAGGATCCATCATGTTCTGCGATAGCCTTTTGATTCAGGTACAAAATTGCCTAAGAAGGTCAGGGAAGGGGAAGGAAGAGGGGAGGGGGGGGGGGTCGTTCGTGTAAATTTTTGCTGATATTCTTTTTACCCCTCTAGCTGGCTCTCTTTCTTTTCTCTCCCTTTCTCTCTCTGTGTTTCTTTCTTTCATTTCCTGTTTGATGGGGGAGGGGGGGGGTTAATTATTGTACGGCATATACCCTACATCATGTGCACGATAGACAGTAACTTCTTGAGACTTCAAAACTGATTTCATCCGATTTTTGGTTTTGGTTCAAAAATATAAAGTATGTATTTAAAATAAAATGAACATTCCCATTTTATTTTTATATTTCTCTCTCTCTCTCTCTCTAAATTTTCCAAAATATTGTCTTACTCATTTTCTTCAGTGTAACGTTGGTAAGTCCGTAACTCAAGGTAACGAATCGGCACTCGCTGAAGCAGTCTACTTCACACCCGTCGTGGTAGCCATAGACGCAAGTCAGCCGTCTTTCCAATTATACGTCAGCGGCGTGTACAGTGATCCTAACTGCTCGTCGACGCTATTAGATCTTTCCCTGTTGTTGGTAGGCTACGGTGTTTCTTCGGTGGGGACCGAGTACTGGATATGCAGGAACACATGGGGTGAGCTTTCTTGACTGTATACGTTGCACACGAGGCGTTATTTTTGCCTGACGTAGGAATGCGTCAGTGATTTTTGTATTTATTAATGCGCCACGCGAGGGTAATATCTTACAAAACGAGTTTTAAAAAAACCCTCAAACTTTCTAACCAAGTTTTTAATAGATGATACACGTTTCACCTTGTTGACTAGCGCAAATATTAACGCAGTCCAAAATGGCGCTTCGTGTGTAACGCGTTTCTAATTCAATTTTAATATATTTAATTTATTTAATTTCCAGGCAAGATGAAACAATACATAGACAACCTCATATGGTTGACATAATGATAAAACATTAACAGTATGATATTTAGCACCAGCCAATGCCTGGGGATCACCTTAAAGAATTTAACATTTCAGTCGAGTGGCTCACCACGCATTATACGATTTGATTACGACCCGATCTGGGAAGAATCTGGAATAGCATATGATGTGAACAATTCATACGTCTAAAATTGTGAAGATCACAGATCTAAAAAAAGTCAATTTGTATAAAACAATCTCAATGTCAAATTTCAAGCTTCCTAGAAGGAAGAAACCCTTAATCGGCTCAAATTTGCAGTGGCATTAGAAAGGTAGTGCGATCGTTTATGAGTTGACTTTTAGTCTGACAAAAAAGCTGAAATTTCACTGAAATTCCGGTTGTTAGTATTCTGATCATTATTTTGAACCTAAATCAGGAAGATTATGTTTGTTCAGGTTTACAAATCGAATGTAACTGCCTTCGGTCCTGAAAAGCGCTATATAAGAACTAGCTATTATTATTATTATTATTACTTCGAAATTCGGATCGCAGGAAGATCTTAAAGTGTGCGGTGGGCTCCAGAGAATCCACTCATTACTTGCAAATGTACAGCTTTGAACTGAGATGCACGGTTACCGTATCAGGACGTCTGACCCCGAAATAAAGCACCTGGACAATAGTTACCCCATAAGACAATTACCCTCTTGGACCATTACACCCCAATCACTCCATTTGACAACTACCCATCCCAAGGTTGTACTCCTACGCTTAGGTCATAAAGTAATATTGTTTGGGAATGTTTTTATTCTTGTTACTGTGTTTGATTGCAATCACATATTTCTTGCATGAAATCATTTTTCTAACATATTGTTAAATAAATACCAATTATATGCTTTTAGTATGATTGTATTTCGCCAATCTCTTCTTTGTCCCCATACAGGAGAAGAGTGGGGAGAGAATGGCTATATCAATATTGCCAGAAATCACAACAATATGTGTGGCATCGCAACGGACGCTATCTACCCGTCAAACAAGTAAATACACTGGCCATGAAGGGCTGACTCCACCCCCACCCAACCCCCTTTTTGAATGGCAAAAAGGATAGAAAATAGGAAAGAAAGGGGAGTGCGAGAAATGGAACGGAAAATGAGACGATGCTACATCTTCCCACACCCTCCCCCTTAAACTAATTGCCCTGATAATTTCATCCAACGACTGGTGCCCCCTCCATCTCTTTCATGATGTGATCCGCGGTGATTCACAGTGAGTGAAATATATCATCGTCTTCTGCTATACGCTCTACTGGTCTGATCCATATGATCACTGGTTGATATAGGGGAAATAAACTTATTAAATACAATCGTCACCCAAAGGCCCGTCTTCTACACTGATTATAAAATGCACATATCACCTACAATTAAATTGCTTACAGCTATGATGCATGAAATCAACCTGAAAAAACAACTTCATCTGGCTTTATATTGGCCAGCGGATAAGGAGTATGAAGAAAATAATGAATAACATAAAACTGCGCGCACGGAACCCAAGGTAGGACTTGGGTCAGGTGCGAGACCTATTTGTTCAAGTGGCTACGGTTGCGTCGAGTATTGCTGTTGTTGTTGTAGAGTTTATATGACTGTTCAATCTGAAAAGATATTTCCGCCTGGCTATACTGTTTTTCCAGTTATTCATCAGCGTATTCATGATGTACTCACAAGATGCTTTTATGTGAATGAATTTGTAGAGAGAAAAGTATTCTAGCGCCATCTTTCGTCATTAAACAACTAATCCGTTCCTTGCGAACATGATTTGTATGTACGGTTTCCGTTGTGATCCGTCTGTCACCCCTCTCCAGTATCTACATTTAAACCTAAAATTAAAGGTGAAGATAACGTTTTAAGGCGGCCATTGCATACTGTCATTTTTTTCGCCGGTTGCACATATTGTCCATTAATGCTTGAATGTACAACAGGTCTCCCAAATTTCGTCTAAATGTTATTTTTGACCCGACAAGCATATGCTTTAGTTACACGATGCAAATGAAGGTCATTTATCTGTTAATATGAATTTCAACGAGATGCTTCTGTTGTTTTGGTTCCTTTCAAAGTTATTTCATTATTTTTAAGGAGGGACACCCTCTAGGGCAAATTAATTTATAAGTATGAGCTGAGAGGCTTTTTATAGGTGAGCGATTTTTTTTTTCGTCATTCAGCTCAGATCGATCTTCTGCAGATCACCTAATCGTCAGCAGTGACGAGTTCCAGTCTAGTAATTTTATATTTTTTTGATTATCAAGACTTCAACATACCAAAATCAGAATAAAGTCACACACGAGCATAACAATAATGAATCATATTATAATATTAAAAATGCCATATGGAACAGTAATGTATTCATATTTATTGATCTCAGGCATAAATACAATTAATATGAAAGCTGTGAAAAGGGTGAGTTTTAAACAGTTGAACGACTTTTAAGCTATAGAATGATTCTCCTAAACCTAAACAAATTTAGTAGACTTTTTCAACTTGTCACTGGATCTCTCATTTTCCTCATCAAGTTTCATTTAAAAGACAATCTACTTTTTCTTTTTCAAGGTATTAATTGATAGATTGTTCTCTGTTTTAAATGTAATTATGCTTCGTATAAATTGGCATAGTAAGCAAATAACTACCGTTGGTGAAGGTGATGGGACAAATTATCACTTCCGAGGCGATCTTGATGTAACTATCTTTCCGAAGCGAAGCTGAGGAAAGATAGCGTATACATTATGATCGACGAGGAAGTGATAGTTTGCCATCGCCTGAAATCAAGAGGTGATTATTTGCTTTATATTCCACATCTAAAACAATTAAACTACAACAAGAAAAGGACGTGTATGCATCAACATAAAAGACACCATGTCCAAATTCACACCAAAAAAGTTAAACAGTTTAACCCAACCCCTTGAGGGTACGGAGCGCGCATGTGTTTGTTTTAATTGCGCTCATTGGTAAATGCGCGCTTAATTACGCCTGTTTTAGTGCGCTTTTGGATAATCTTCAGTGAAAGTGCGTTGCACTGTGTAGATAGTAGTACTATCTACACAGTGTAACGAACTTTTTGACTCTCCCATCAATAGTGGGCGAACTATCTTTCATCACGTGATTTACTTTTGACCAATCGTAGAGCAAGATTCTTAGTATGTGGAATATAATATTTATTATTATAATATTTGTATTTTGTTGGATATGAATCGAAACAAATCCAAAGATATTTCTGTGATTCTAACAAAAAGAAAATCATATCTTTTGTTTAAATCAAGTAAAATTTGCCATTTTGCCCATGTTTGTTCATCTGTGATTGAAGCAACCTTTTCATGTTTTATTTGTGTTAAAACAAGATTAGTAGAGAGAACCTTTATTCAAAGTAATTTTTTCACGCTCCTCTCAACATGGACCTTAGATATGATGTTCCTCAGTATAAAAGTGCTTTATTATGATAATCAGAGGCATCAAAACAAAAATGAAAAGTTAGTATTGTATGCATACATCATACAGAGAGAGAGAGAGAGAGGAGAAGAGGGCGGCGGGGGGGGGGGTTATGTACCCCCGAACAAAAGGCTGTGGGTTTGTCCATACTCGGAAGGCATATAGGCCTATATGCATAAATAATTGATGAGGAGCTAATTATGACGCGATCGTATAAAGCGTTTGTTTGTGTTTCCCTGAATTTGTCACGCTTTCTATCTATACCTGATGATCTTCTTCAGGACTCATGTTTATAATTGACAGGTTTATATCGATGTTTATAACGTTGGTCTGTGAAATGTGGAGTGATCATTGAATACTGTTTTGCGTATACTTATGTGTGAGATCATGTTTATCTGCTTTTGAATGCGTGTTTGTTTTTCATTCTTAAATATTCCTTCTCTCTTCATTCTGTGTCTTCATTTTTGTCACTTTGACTGCCAACATGCTATACTCATCCCCCCGAACAGTTATGGCTAGTTTTCTGACATTTCTGGTCCTTGGAACTATGTTTATGACCACTTTCACTTTGGAAACTGTACCACAACCTTACAGCTTGGGATACACACGGACCGAGCTTCTCAACCTTCGCGGCGCCACGGCGGGAAACTTGCCTGCCGGGTATGAGGATTACCCGCGCGAAATCAAGCTACGTAAGCGAGGTAAGCGGGGAGGGATCAGAACACGTCTAAAGAAAAGGGGCACAAAACCACCCCTTCCCACGATAGTTCTTGGAAACGTACGTTCATTATCCAACAAGATGGAGGAACTTGAAACATTAACCAGATATATGAATGAATACCGAGATTCTAGTCTCCTTGCTTTTACAGAAACGTGGCTGAACGAAAGTATCCCTGATAGTATCGTTGAAATCCCCTTTTTCGACCTGGTGAGAGGGGATAGAACAGATGAGTCTGGAAAAAAGAGAGGAGGAGGTATATAATAATAATAATAACTAGATTTGTAATACTTGTTTGGAACAAGTATAGGTGGGCTGATCCAACAAAAAATTGAGACAAAATAAAGGGTACATTTAAGATAGCTTTTTGTCTCAGCTACAACATACTCGAAGTTCAGCGTAAATGAAGCTAAAACGACGTAGATATTGCTCGCGAAAGACGGGAATGTAGAATCGAGTTTTGAGAAAAAATCATGTCCCATAGAGAATACACGCAAAATGTGAAAATTGACAAGCCTCCTTTAATCACAAAAATACGCCATGATGCTTTTGTCAAAATTAACAATTGTTATGACTTCATTTGTAGAAAATTGTCTCAGCTAGAACATTTCAAAATTTAGAAGAAAATCAATCACTATTTACAGAGATACAATCAATTTTCCATAAATATGCTGACGTCATAATATGCAAATTGAAATTTTGAGTTCGGAGGCCATTATAATGACGTCATGAGTTAATTGAAGGTCAAATGTGACATGAAACAATATCTCCGAATCATACTCTATCAAAATATGAAAACAAATTGGGGTCACCTTGCATCCTAAAGAGCTACAATGGATTTTGTATAGGCATGTTTTTGCCCATATATGCTATGTATTACAAGAGCTCGCGCGCACCGAGATTTATGTTAAACGGTCGATCATTCCGTTATTAATAGTCATAAAGAGACAAACATGGTATCAATTTGTTTGTAAATATATGTGGAATATTATAAAAGAAAAAAAATGGTGATTCTATGTTATGTAATAGTTTTACGCGCGAAAACGCGCGCGCATGGGCGTGTGCGCGATTTTTTATAAAATGCTTAGAATGGCCTAAAACGTATGCAAAATGATTTTGAGACGATTTTGAGCATTTTAAAATTTTGCGCGCGCATTGACGCGCGGACGTACGGGCACGCGCGCATTATTTGAGGTGAAATTAACCGGACGGATAATGACCTTAATCATGATAAATATGAATGAGAATTACTTTTTGGTTATGAAGATATGATCATGAGTTGATTTTCGTAAAATTTTACAAAATGGCGCCTAGATGACGTCATCAGTGAAGGTCAATGTTGAAAACGTTATTGTGCTTCGTACATATGCCTATACATATGTGTGCCAAATTTCAAGGCATTTGATTGAGCCATTTTTGTGTTATTTTGTTCACAAAAAAGTGGTTAGAAATAAGAAAAATATTTAATAATAAATAAAGGCAATTCTAACGAAATTATAAGGTGGTCTGTACTATATACAGCCCACCTGATAATAATAATATTGGGTTCTTGTATAGCGCTCATGTCAGTCAGATTTGACCCTCCTGGCGCTCCCGATTATTACCCTGGCTTTAGCACGGCTGCCATACGGCGCTCTAGCATTTCAAGGAATAAATTCCTACCAGGTACCCATTTACTTCACCTGGGTGGAGTGTGGCAAATGTAGATCAATGTCTTGCCAAAGGACATTAGTGCGGCGGCATCAACATCAACATCATCAAAAAATGGTGTAAAAACTGGACTGTGAAAGATGTTGTTTGTACGCCAGATATTGAGTACATAACAGTTGGACTACGACCATTTTATCTACCTCGAGAATTTCCACAGATTTTTGTAACAGTGGTTTATATTCATCCACGAGCAGACATAAATGTAGCTAGCGAGTGCCTTGCAGAGAGAGCAAATCAACTCGCATCTTCGTCCCCCGATGCCCCCATTTTCTTCATGGGCGACTTCAACCATTGTCGCCTGAACAATGCATTGCCAACTTACGATCAATACATTGATATTCCAACAAGGAACGACAGCATACTCGATCTATGTTACGGAAACATTCCGAAGGCATACACGGCGAAGCCATGTCATCAGTTGGGGAAATCAGATCATCGAAACGTACAATTATTGCCGTCCTATCAACAAAAACTGAAACGCTGCCGCCCGATTACTAAGCAACGGTACGCTTGGACCGACAACGCGACGGAGGAACTCCGAGCCGCGCTTGACTGCACTGATTGGGATGTATTGTCTGACTCAGCCGAATCACTTGAAGAGGCCACGGAGATAATCACAAGCTATGTCAAGTTTAATGTCGACACTATTATACCTCGTAAGACATTTAAGGTCTTTCCGAACAACAAGCCTTGGGTAACTAAAGAACTTGGGACCTTTTGAAAGAAAGGAAAGCTGCACTGACAGATGGCAATAAAACACGAGTAAAAGAGCTACAAAAAGCAATAAAAAGACGGATTGGTGAATGTAAACATTCATACAAAGAAAAGCTAGAAAGAAACTTCCGTGGAAATAACCCGGCTGCAGCGTGGAAAACAATGAACATGATTACCGGGTATAAACAGAAATCCCCAACCGTGGATTTTGAGGTCACACAAACTTTTGTAGAAGAACTGAATAACTTTTACTGCAGATTTGATCAGGACTTTACAGTTGAGAATGATATTATTGCCAGTAGTCTTAGAGAAACAGGTTCTGAGAATAGGTTTAACCTCACCGAACATGAAGTGAGGGTGGTACTTGGATCAGTCCGTCCTAACAAGGCCCCTGGGCCTGACGGTATATCTAACAAAGTTCTTAAATTGTGTAAAAATCAATTAGCAGGTATCTTGACCAAACTTTTCCAATGCTCGTTGGAACATGGAACTATTCCTCGGAAATGGAAAATGTCCTCAATCAAACCCATCCCAAAGAAAAAGAAAGCTACAGAGCTAAACGATTTCCGACCCATTTCACTTACTTGCAGTGTGATGAAGTGCTTTGAAAAGGTGATGCTCAAGCACCTTCTCAAATGCTCATCATCACACATGGACCCTATGCAGTTTGCGTATAAGTGTAAGAGGGGGGTAGATGATGCATTGTTGACATACTTACATAAGATGTACTCTCACCTGGATAAAAGCAAAACGTATGTTAGATCTACATTCGCAGACTTCTCCAGTGCGTTTAATACTATTGTAACTCATATATTAACGAAGAAATTGGTATCATTCAACGTCCCAACCCAGATTATTTTATGGATCCAGGACTTCCTTAGCAATCGCCCACAGAAAGTGATAATGGGTAATGTTCAATCTAGTATCAGAATTCTGAACCCAGGAGGACCTCAAGGATGCGTCCTTTCTCCTGTATTTTTCTCTCTGTACACCAGTGATTGTCGATGTTCCTCAAGTGAGTGTAGCATCATAAAATATGCAGATGACACAGTCATTACCGGTTACATTGCATCTGACAATACCGAATCATATACTACGACGATAGATAACTTTGTAAAATGGTGTGACGATCACTTCCTTAAACTAAATATATCCAAAACAAAGGAACTGATAATAGATTTCCGACGAAATGCTACTGAACACAGAATAATTTCCATTCATGGGGAAGATGTGGAGCAAGTACAAGAATATAAGTATTTGGGTACAACCATAAGCAATTCACTAGACTGGTCAAAAAACGTTCAACTAATTCAAAAGAAGGCAAATCGGAGGCTATACTTTGTAAGGACCTTAAGAAAGTTAAGGGTAGACAATACACTAATTGTTCTTTTCTACAAGTCCCTAATCCAGAGTGTTCTGACGTATAACCTAGTCTGCTACTTTGCTAATGCAACAAAAATTGACAAGAAGAAGCTCAATAAACCCAGGAAAATAGTTCAACGTATACTAGGGATAGACCTGCCACTACTTGATAATTTGTACCAAGAGAGAGTTTCATCCAAATTAAGACAGGTTATGCAGGACCCCACCCACCCACTCAACGAGAACTTTAAATTTAACCGTTCAGGCATACGTTTGTGCGCACCGCGCACACAGAAAACCCGTTTCAGGCAATCTTTTGTTCCCAACGCCATTCACCACTTCAATGCACAAGCCCGGAGGTCTGGAACTCAAACGTAAATACTGGTCTCAACTTATACTTTGTTCTGAATTTAATTTTCGCTAGGGCTCATAATATTAAACACACCTATATTCTCAAATAAACAGCAAGCTTAATGTTCGAATTTTTCACCTGGAATGCCATGTTTATGTTATACTGAAATCATGTATTCGTTTTGTTCCGTTTTCCATTGTAACAATTATTTTCAGAATGTAACTACGTTTGTAACGATGTACATTTGATAATTATTGTATTATGTATTGTTCCTGTTTTATGTATATATGTACAAAGACTGTAAACCAGTGAAAAAATAATTTCCCGAAAGGGACAATCAATTTTCAATTCAATTCAATTCAATTCAATTTATCCTCCCTCTCTTCTCTCTGTCTCTCTCTTCCCCCTCTCTCTATCTCTTGGTCTGTCTCCATCTTTCAGCGTCTACTTACAAGTTACATCACGCCTTTCCTCTCTGTCATACACTCTCCAATCTAATCATTTCTTGTTTTGTATGAAAAGCACTTTACCCTCTGTCTTTCTTCATGTCGCTTACCTCATATTCGAATTATTCCAGTTTACGTGAATAAAGCTCTGAGGCGATAATTCGAAATGTAAATGGATTTCATCATTATTTTATTCAATTTCTTGCGATATATCCCCTTTATACCATCTCTCAACAACAGGAACATTTAAAATCACATGATTTTTATCAGTTATAGATCGAACTTTCTCTTGTATACATATGTACAAAGACATTTTATCTGTATGTAATTCTCTGAACCTGCATATATTTATGATTATGTACACACATAAAATAAACAATTGAACTCTGATACATAGTCAGTGTTGGTAAAAGTCGAAGGGATCAATTAAATCTTAGAACAGCTAGCTGCACACACAAATATTTTTTTCCAAATGACCTTAACAACAACCTGTGTTACCTTTATAAACAAAACATCACAACTTCAACGAGCATATACGATCCCTATAGCCAAGGATCTATTAGGTCTATGACATAACCAAATAAGTAGCTTATCACATGATAAAATAATTATTCAAATCAAATGACAGTCTTACTGCTTAGATAAATACACGGAATTGTTGTCTCTACAATTACTTATGAGATAGTTACAAACATTTGTTATTCTTACAACAAATTTCATATCCTGCAAGTCCTACAGCAGTAAGTTATATTCATATGTATTCTTTGTTTCCACTTTGTTAACATGCAATTATGTACACTCTCAGGTATATAAGCAAAATAAATTTACGTGTGTAGGAAGACGTGAATGAATGAATACAAATTGATTCCCTTTTTTGTATTTACATATTGAATACATTTCGGATATCAATAACACATAACAGCATTCCTACAAATCCATGAACATGGGAAATAGTTCAAAGATAAATTCACTGGCTTTCAGTTGAATCCAGAATTTCTCAAGGCAATCAAAGAGCATGTAAGAAGAGCAATGTTTTCAATACAGCTCGAACAAAGAGAATACACCTCTCACTACGTAACGTATATTGCAAGACTCCACTTCACTGTCCCTTATTCAGGTGTATTACACACCAACTGACAAAATCATTACATCACAGGCATTAATGAAAGTGAACATTACAATAGAGACATCAATTGAAAGAATTTATAATGGAGTATAAGTTGAAAAGATGTACAACGGTAAAAACAATGTACAGGAGCATCGGATGTTTGAAATATATTACTCGAAAATAAATAAGCATTGTAGATAAGAATCACTATCTCTCACAAATCTCACAAATAAACTAGATTGTACATATACACGATCTGATCACGATTTGATATAAGAATATTACAACGAGATCAAGATGACTAATTCCTCTTTTTTACCACATTAATAACTGTTGCATGCATGTCACGAACTAGACTAGATTAAATCAAAGATTTCATATGATCGTGCATGATTTATAGTTGGATGCAAATTACAAAATACTTAAGGGTGATAACAATAATAACAACAATAGCACGACGTGTATGGTTCATATGGTTATATGGTTCGAATGGAATTGTAAAAGTACATTGAGTAGAAAAACTTATATCTTGTCACATTTAGCCGTACACATACTCTGCACAATGTAATCATACTTTACAACATTGTATTTTCGTCAAACTAGTTATTATGTTCATGAAGCACGGCAGACTCTCAGGCTAACATCCATGAACAACACTGTAATGAAGTATTGTATTTACATGGCATGTAGTTTAAGATATAGAAATAAATAATGATAGATTCAATTTATGCCGACTCAAATCCAATCTCTTTTTCTCTTTACTATGATATAATATGATGTGCTTGCAGTATAAAGCACAAAACCTTTGCCATGGTCAAAGTACTTTCAAAGAGGCTGCAAAGAATTAAAAATTTGTCCTGAAAAAAAAATCGACCTTCTCCATAATTATGCGTCAACATAATTATAAAGTTATTAATTAAAAGTATCGAGACATGGCATAAGCAGTAATAAGTTTGTGATACGATATTCCATGTACTTTAACTTGAAATATCCTTCAGTTAGTATAATTAGTTATTCGGGTAACCTGGTTACCGCCACACTCGACAAGTTTCATTTTGAAGTCCGCAGTAGTCTGCTGCCATCACGTGGTCTAATGAGGGTCATCGTCTGACGTTGATGCGTTGTTGCTTGACGGCCAAACCACATAGTACTTTAGCGTTATCTTCAGAACCTCCACTAGACCCTCCATTGAAACTTAAGCATACCAGAAATAAAATGTATATAATGATGGTTTTGCTTTGATTTCATGTGATGTTTATTCATTCCATATACATCAACATATTTATATTTACTATCTTATTAATTTAGATGTATGATGATGACATGGCATATACAGAAAAGGGGTCGTCTTATAAGCCTAAGCTTGAAGTAATGTCCTCTCAAAAAGAAAATAATGATACTTACAATATTAACCAATGCATAAACAATTTGGTTAGGTTAGGCAAGATTTCTTGTTAAATAACATAGAAAGAGAAGGGACATAGAGGATCGGAGAGGGAGAAAAAGTTACAGTCATGATAGTATTAGGAAGAGTACGTAATCATGTCAAGTTGTGCATGTATAAATAATCACCTTTTGAGAGCTATTATTCATGACAATTATAGGGACATTCTTAAAAAATATTAAAAGTTGAAAATGATTTTTCAGAGCTAAAAATTCATTTAGGTCAGATACCTATCGAGTAAATAGTTCACAATCATTTATATAGAACCGCTTTTTTACATTTAAATTCCAATCAAAAGGCGATAAATTCATTTACGTGTCTGCATTCGAAGAAGTGAGAAATTTATGTAAAATGCTAGGATATCGTTTAAGTAAAACCAAAATTAGATTTGAATTGTACCACTATTTGCAAGCAATTTGATATTGATGAATAATTTTTTTCAAAAAGGTACTACAAGCATTACATTTCAGGCAGGGAAGATTTGCAATCTATATATGATGTCACCATCATGACCAAGGTAGCAGGTAGATGAAGAGGAGACACATATTTGCCTACACTCCGTACCTATCACACATCTTAATGACATAATTTCTTTATGGAATTTTATTTGATGTTGTTTTTATTACAGAATTAAGAATAAACAGGCAGTTTGATTGAAAAAAATGCAGGCCACAAATAACATATACACCTTAAACATGTTCTGAAAAAAGCTTTGTGATCCGTAAGAATTTCTTTCCAATATACGTTCGTATATTCCATCGTATGGATATTGCTACAGGGTGTATATTGTAAGAAGCAGGTTTTATCTTTTTACTTTTCGCCACGGTTCTAAAGTAGAGTTGTTCGGCTGAGATGCATGCTACATGATCCTTTGACAAATTCCTTTAAGTAGAGCTCTAGATAAGATAACGGAAATATTTCGTCCTTTTATCAGAAATTAACGTCATATCGCTTTTTTTTTTTAAAGAGGACGAAGTAGAAGCTTTATACATCTTGTACTTGAAGGAAAAGTACTTTTTCACTAAAAATGTTCATATAGTTGTGAAAAGTTTTTTTCTGTATGTTTGTTATATTTCAGTTTCCGGATATCATTACACAGATCAAGAACACACATATTGATAGACGTGATCATCTTAATCAGGCCAGGATAAACACATTAACGACTGCTTAAATCATGTGTATTGTTCATTACTGGGTACCGACAGGGCGGATTTAAATATGGATAACAAAAAATAGCTTACTTTGAATTGATGGAATGCCAGAAAGAGGGAGAAGAATCAATCGAAGGATGGGCATGTAATCTATTGTTATATCTTACCCAGCCATGTATCGTGGTGACAGTCAGCTTGCCTTCATTGTTTACCTCAGAAATCAGTGGATCCAAATCCGTGTCGGTACTACACCGCTCTAACCTATAATAATAAAACAGTACATTTCGGGGGCACAGTTCACGAACTCCTGGACTATTAACCTGACGTACGATACTCTCTTAATATAAAAGCCATCAGAGATTTATGCTATATGATGTGAGAATAGATGAAAATTTAGTACACATCAGACCTTGCATAATGTTGCTCTGCATTTATATTGCATGACTGCAAACCATAGTATCATAACTGTGTATGTAGGATACAGCAAGTCTATGCAAATAATGATGAAAAAAAAGAAAAAAGTATGGAATTCAAATTTATCTTAAGAAAATAATAATGGTAAAAATAAATAAAAGCTTTATTACACATTTTGCAAACATTAATCGTTATATTGACTCAAAAACGTGTTCATCTTTTCATTGACTTTGAAAACGTTGCATTAAACACTGGATTTATACCAATTAAATGATATAGAGATGAAAATATGTATTTTCATTTCTTTAATGTTGTCTCTGAAAATGCAATAATTGCGCTTACTATTTAAAATACATCATTATAAGAGAAAAAAAAACCCATTTGAATTAAGTATTTAAATGCATATTTTCCAATAAGACCATTATATTGAATATTTCATATTACGGAATTTTAACTGCTTTCCGCTACTTACTCTATGTTTGTCAGGTGTGCATGAGTCTTCATGAGTTTGATAATCTCAGCTGCCTTCCCGTTGTACATGTAAATGTGGGTAATGGACAGCTTGGTGAGTAGGGGACATGATGTTTTAACCGCCTTGCAGAATGACACGGGATCATTCAGTGTAACAGAAGATGCATACACCATGTTTCTGTGGATGTGAAGATGAGTTAGATGATGGAACGGAGAGCAGGCCATTGTGACGATATCTGATGAGACATTTTCATTGTCCGACCATTCCAGCCTGAACGTTTTCACTCTGGGACATGAAGTATGAAGTCCAAGGTTCCACAGACTGGTCAAATGCCTACCATCCACAGATAGCTCATCTACTGACTCAGAGGTTATTTGACGAGTCTACATGAAACAGCGATGCATAAAGGTTCACTACATATGATTTGAATGGAAACCAACGCTAATAAAAAAAATATATTACATAACCTGACTCATTTTTGTATTAAAATAGTACTTTTACTGTTCATATCATGGTTGGAAAATATTCCATAAAATGTACAATAATAAGATTTAAAGGGTGTTCATCAGTTTAAAGTACAAAAGAAGAAATAAACAAACACGTAGTTTTGTGGAAAATGGGACAAAGAATACAACATTTTTAAACATTTGAATACCAAGATTATAAATGATTTAGAGAATCTCCCATTGACATTACAGGCATATTCGATGCCGATCCTGATGAACTAAAATAACCGATTTGTTTTTCAAAGATATTAAAATTACCTCTCTGTTTTTCATTTTAGTGACCCAGCAGATTATGTCCCATTAGGCCTAAACGTGTACTGCCCTACCTTTACAAAACGTATTTCTCTATCATAATACTCTGAAAAAGGTATTTGCGGTATTTTCAAAACAAACAAATTAGAGGATCCCCCCCCCCCCTGTACGACAAAACACATCATGCCCGCATTGCTAATACAGGATTTCTGTGAAACCTTCTTGAAATATTTCTTAATTTTATCCGTTTCAACCAATAAGACCAAAGCCAACTTAATAACGAGGGTTAATCCTCGTCTTTCAGTGTTAAAGCATATAATTATATTATTATGTCTATGGAATTATTTTTACCTTGTAAATTCACTTGTATCAGCCTCCAGCTGTATTGTTGAATATTCGAATAAAACCTTATCAAATCAAATAAAGATGACGAGATTGTAGTACTCATTATTTTTAATGGGATATTCGTTCACCCAGATTAAAAATAAAAATCAAATGATTTTACATAATTTTGAAAGTTACACATTTTTATGATGAAAACATAAGCAACAAAAATCTCCATAGGAAATAGCAAACGGCAATCATTCATTAAATGATATTTAACGAGCTTTAAGAAAAAATGCTTGGATAAATTCCATCCCAAATTAACAAAATTATAACAGTGCATGTATAAATGTTTCACATATAAAACTATCCACATATTTAATAAAGAGCCCGTAGTATATGGCGTTTTTAACTAGATTTCAAGACAAAATACATTATTCTTTCGGCACTACCGTTATAATTCATATTTGGTCTGTCTAGTTTTTCTGAACCCCTCCCTTTTGAGCTTGGAATAAAAGAAGGATTTTGACTTCAATCTTGGAATAGTACAAATACATACCAGTGTCTCTCCATTGTCCATGTCAACTGGTCTGGATTCACTCAAACTGAGTGACTGTAGGCGTGGTAGCGAGAGAATGGAGTGTAGTTGAAACGGAGTTATGGAAACGCTCCACATACTTAGCGTCTGAATCTGTGCAAAGACAGTTTATCAGTTCAAACCAAAGTGAAATCCGCGATGCTAACATTGCTAACATCACAGCTAATATTGGATGAATTTGGGCCCCGTCTTTATAAAACTTGTTCGATCTCACCCGAGCGACATGTGGATGAGAAAGAGTGCGGGGTCTGATCGTAAAACACGGGTTGAGCTTTTGGACACCGTCTTAATCAGCAAAAACCTCACCCAGCGATCAGCTAGCGCGCGCTGTGTACATGTATACATTTTGTTCATGGTGATGACGTCATTTACCCGGGTAAATGTCACCCGGGTAAATAGGGACTTTTAGATTGAGTGGACGAGAACACGACGAACGCCGACTGATCATGCGTGTCAACGTACTCAACTGCCATGTTGACTACAATCAGAAATCTTTTAGATTGTACTAGGCGATTTTACGTGCATGCAGGAAGTAACACTATGAACATGACAGACAAAGAAAGAGGACAAAATATACAGTTCCTCATTCTACCCTCAACAATTGCTGTGGTAGAACATCCTTTCATGAATGAAGGTGAATATACACATTTTTACATAATAGCAGGGAAGGGATGTTCCTTTGTCTACCTGAGGAACTGTATATTTTATGCGCACGCGGCATATATAGTACCGTACTAGATTTAGGAAAATCAAGGTTGACGCATTTTCAATCGCCGACTGAGACGACGTGACGCATGCGTAGTGCCTTAAAATGACGTCACACGTTGCAGTCAAAGCTGTCAACGTGCAAATCCCTAATATCCCTAATATCACCCTAGCTCGTCTAGGGTGAGATTTACCTCGATATTGTCAGGACGTTAATCCGATTGACGCGTCTTTATTGGAAGGGGGTATATGTCGTCCGCGACTTTATTTTCCAATTAAGACGGGGTTTTAGTAACTTTATCATTCGCTAAGTCTGATTATTTCGTCTCTATTTCCGCTATAGTTCAAATGAATCAACATGGTATAATTAAAAAAAAAACAGCATTTCAATGTACATGGCATGATGTATTTCAATAGAGGTACTAACGGTATTGTATCGGTGGGATGACATTGCATCAAAATGATATCTTCAAGAGAGTGTGTTTAATATACTTGTTCGACCTTTTTTTTAGAAGGCTTATCGTATCCGTTTCCTCCAAAGTGGATAATTAACATTTTTATGAATTCTTCTAAATTCACTAGATACAAGAGGACACTCGCATGAATACATATTGCTTCAGATATGTGATACATCCGTCACTGAACAGGCACGCGAGTTGGTATTGTGCAAGCCAAATTGTTTATATCAGGGTTATTTTACAAGAAAATTATGAGAACAGTCTTAGACAATAGTCGTTGATAACTTGGTCATGTGGACTACGGATAAGATCAGTAAATATCATCAAGTTATCAAATTAATCGGTTATTAATGCGTTGTGAAGGAAAAGAACATTATAATCCATAAATAACAAGAATTGTGTATCTACTGCTACAAACTATGAGTGGAGGAATAAATTAGGAATATTTTTCATTTTATTATTTTATGTTAATGATTTGTTTATAGATTATTTACCTTCATCTATTTATAGAAGAAATAAACACCGAGGTATTATGTTTGGTCATTCATAGCTGGTCTATTAGAGTCTAACATTTTGACATTACCCAATAAAAATCCCATCAAGAATTTTGACAACACATAAATAATTTCTTTAACCCTAAAAAGGCCGGGCTATTTGAGGTCTTAATGCGGCGGGAGGGGGGGGGGATAGATCTCGGCCGTGAAACGATCGATCACCGCAAAAAAGTGCACGCATGTCGAGTGAAGTGTATAGAATACTATGGTAAATGTAATTGTTTAAAAAAATCACTCATTTGCATATTAATGGTAATTTATGCAAATAAGGTTATACAATTCACCTTTTTACCAATAAATCATATATTCTTTATATTAAAGCATTCTTTTTCACTACATGTATTCGTTAGACCAGTGAAACAATAATACGACAAAAAATATTGAAGAGCTAGATTATTCCTAATGTTATTTCTTGTTTTGATAATTTCATATGTATTTTATTGTTTTTGTTGTTTTATTTCATTTCTAACTACAATTCAACTATTTTGACTTCCAAAACAAACACCTAAACTTTAAACAAGACCCAATATTCAATGTTTTATCTCTTTTTAGGAAAAAAAAAATGACATTTCCATTTTCTTTTGTACACAAATCACGAAAATGAGCGATTTTCAGGCTGACATGCAAAGACAAAAGGCCACGTGACTTTGTAACTGTACGTCCGATTATCAAAAAAGATTGTTTTAAAAGATGCGCAAGATTCGGAAGAGAAAAGTCAGAGAGCGGCGCGCTGCGTCGGGGCGCCATCCGTATACGTTCCCGAACAATCAGAAAATCGCGGAGGGGAGGGGGGGGGGAGGCATAATGCCGCCCGGCCTTATTAGGGTTAAAGAATTATTCACATGTTTTATTTTATTTTCAGCATGGCCAAACTATTATTCATAATAATATGAGCGCGCTCGTTGCTGATGGAGAAAAAAAAAATCTTTGTAAAAAGTGTGAAAAATTAAGCTACCCTATATGGTATTAAGCTATCCTAATAAGGCCCGGCCTTATTAGGGTTAAAAAAATTATTCACATGTTTTATTTTATTTTCAGCATGGCCAAACTATTGTTCATAATAACATGAGCGCGCTCGTTGCTAATGGAAAAGAAAATGTCTTTGTAAAAAGTGTGAAAAATTAAGCTACCCTATATGTTGAGTTTAAAGAATGCAATACTTTTCGAAACTAATCGTTTCCAATTTAAATAGTGTTTGGTATACCTTTGATTTTGATGCCTCAGAGGCCATCTTCGAGTAGAACTCATCACTCAGCTTCACCCTGTACAGATGCAGGGATCGAAGATTTGGCATGGAGCAGATACCTCTCGCGTAATGAGAGGATGCAGTCGAACCCAGATCTGCTTCCATGTGTGTTAGCTTCTCAACCTGGTGATGTGACAGGACAGGTTGAATAGAGTGAATAGTATTATCAAGTAAAGACCACATTTCTATTAAATTAAAATACTCTTAATGTAATTAGTATAAAAATCATGAACCTCCACTTAGACTTTTCAAGCAAGGAAAAAAGAAGGGAGAGAGAGAAAGAGAGAGAGAGAGAGAGGGGGAGACTTGGAAAGAGATAGAGACAGAAACATATATAGAGAGAAGAAACAGAGGGAAGTGGGTAGGGTTAGAGCAAACAAAAAACTAGATAAAGAAAGAAAAAAACAGTTGTCACCAATTTTGAATAGCCTAGTGTCTGATGAAGCAAAATAAAAGCGTTATATCCGTCTCTTTACCATGCACATGTAGAATTAATTTCCCGCGACTATTGACAAAATTAAAAAAAAAACATATATCAATATATTAAATGCGCAATACTATTTGTGGAATAAGGGCTTTTAAAACACGCTTTGATATGCTTTTATATCATCAGGACACCAAAGTTCATTCTATTGACAGGTCGTATTTTTCCTTGTCAGCCTAGCCAAACTATTTATAATATTGATATGAGAGTCCTCGTAGCTCATGATAATGAGTTATTACTCTTTTTAAAATAGGAATAAACAGATATCTTGTATGTGGAATTTGAAAAATGCAAAAAATTATTTGGAAAAAATCCTGTTGAATAGAAATCATGTTTGGTATACCTTGAATTTTGATGCCTCAGAGGCCATCGTCGAGTAGTACTCATCACTCAGCTTCACATCGTACATAAACAGTGATCGAAGATTTGGCATGGAGCAGATACCTCTCGCGTAATGAGAGGATATAGCCGAACCCAGATCTGCGATCCGGTGCGTTAGCTCCTCAATCTGGTGATGTGACAGGACAGGTTGAATAGAGTGAATAGTATTAAAGACAACATTTCTAATTAAAATACTCTTACTGTAATTAGTATAAAAATCATGAACCTCCACTTAGACTTTTCAAGCAAGGAAAAAAGAAGGGAGAGAGAGAAAGAGAGAGAGAGATAGAGAGGGAGACCTGGAAAGAGACAGAGACAGAAACATTATATAGAGAGAAGAAACAGAGGGAAGCGGGTAGGGTTAGAGCAAACAAAAAACTAGATAAAGAAAGAAAAAAAAAACAGTTGTCACCAATTTTGAATAGCCTAGTGTTTGATGAAGCAAAATAAAAGCGTTATATCCGTATCTTTACCATGCACATGTAGAATTAATTTCCCGCGACTATTGACAACATTCACAAAAACATATATCAATATATAGAATGCGCAATGCTATTTGAGGAATAAGTGCTTTTAAAACACGCTTTGATATGCTTTTATATTATCAGGACACCAAAGTTCATTCTATTGACAGGTCTTATTTTTCCTTGTCAGCCTAGCCAAACTATTTATAATATTGATATGAGAGTCCTCGTAACTCATGATAATGAGTTATTACTCTTTTTAAAATATGAATAAACAGATATCTTGCATGTGGAATTTGAAAAATGCAAAAAATTATTTGGAAAAAATCCTGTTGAATAGAAATCATGTTTGGTATACTTTGAATTTTGATGCCTCAGAGGCCATCGTCGAGTAGTACTCATCACTCAGCTTCACATCGTGCATATACAGTGATCGAAGATTTGGCATGGAGCAGAGACCTCTCGCGTAATGAGAGGATGCATGAGAACCCAGGTCTGAGTGCCAATGCTTAAGCTCCTCAATCTGGTAATGTAACAGGACAGGTTGAAAAGAGTGAATAGTGTTTATGAAGTATAGACGACATGTCTAAATAAAAATATTCTTACTGTCCTTAATATAACATTATCAACCTCTTCTTAGACTTTTAGAGTAAGGACAAGAGAAAGGAAAGGAAGAGAGAGAGATAGAGAGAGGGAGAGAGAGAGTGAGAGTGACCTGGAGATAGACAAATAGATATAGAGAGAAAAAAAACTCGAAGGAAACCGGTTGTTGTTAGAGCAAAGAAAGACAAGTTGAAGAAAGAAAAACGATTGTCATCAATTAAAAATGGTTGGAAGAGAAACAGTGTCTGTTGGAGTAGAATAAAAGTGTTATACCTGTCTCTTGACAATGCACATGTAGAATTAATTTCCTGCGAGTACTGACAAAATTTATTAAAAAATTAATATAGAATGCGAAATACTATTTGTAGAATACGTGCTTTTAAATTCATTTTTATATGCTTTTAAATCATCATGACACCAAAGTTCATTCTATTTACAGGTCTTTTTTTTCCTCGTCAGCATAGCCAAACTATTTTTATTATTGATATGAGAGTCCTCGTAACTCATGGAAATTGTGTAATTTCTAACTTTTAATATTAAAAAACAGATATCTCATATTTGGAATTTGAAGAATGAAAACTATTTGCAAAACTAAAATCGTTTTGAATATAAATCATGTTTGGTATACCTTTGAATTCGACGCCTCAGAGGCCACCGTTGAGTAGAACTCATCACTCAGCTTCACACGGTCCAGAGTCAGTGATCGAAGATTTGGCATGGAGCAGAGACCTCTCGCGTAATGAGAGGATGCAGCAGAACCCAGATCTGCGTGCCTGTGCGTTAGCTTCTCAATCTGGTGATGTGACAAGACCGGTTGAATGGAGTAAATAATGCTATCAAGTATAGACGACATGTCTAATTTGAATATTTTCTTTTGTCATTAATGTAACATCATCCACCTCTACTTGGACTTTTAAAGCAAGGAAAAGAGAAGGGTGAGAGAGAGAAAGATATATATATATATATATATAGTGACCTGAAAAAAACAGAGACAGAAAAATATATAAGGAGAAAAAACCCGATGGAAATAGGTGTGTTGTTAAAGCAAAGAAAGACGAGATGAAGAAACAATTGTCATCAATTATAAATAGTTGGAAAAGAGAGACAGTGTCCGTTGAAGTAAAATAAAAGTGTTATATCCGTTTCTTAACCATGCACATGTAGAATTAGTTTCATGCGACTATTTACAAAATTCAAATGGTTTTTCAATATAGAATGTGAAATACTTTTAAAGAATACGTGCTTCTAATACACGCTTTGATAGGCTTTTGTATCATAATGACACCAAAGTTCATTCTATTTATAGGTCCTTTTTTCCTTGTCAGCATAGCCAAACTATTTATATTGTTGATATGAGAGTCCTCGTAATTCATGAAAATGTGTAATCTTTTTATATTTGATTCGAAAAAACAGTTACCTCATACGTGGAATTTGAAGAATGCTAAATTATTTGCAAAACAAAATTCGATTTGAATATAAATCATGTTTGGTATACCTTTGAATTCGACGCCTCAGAGGCCACCGTTGAGTAGAACTTATCGCTCAGCTCTACGCTGTTCAGATCCAGTGATCGAAGATTTGGCATGGAGCAGAGACCTCTCGCGTAATGAGAGGATGCAGCAGAACCCAGATCTGCGAGCATGTGCGTTAGCTTCTCAATCTGGTGATGTGACAGGACAGGTTGAATAGAGTGAATAGTATTGTCAATTAAAGACCACATTTCTAATTAAAATATTTACGCATCAGTCTCTTCAGTATGTGGGCATAATTAGCTGGATCGCCAGCAGAGTCAGTCTGTGAAGGAGACACAAATTGGGCCGGTAGCATGACCGTAGTACCAAAGACGAGTTCTGCTGCGGAAAATCCCAGATCCGACTCGATAGCTGTACGTATACCCAGCAATATCAAGGGAAGGACCTCAGTCCAATGGACTGTGTTATGCGCCTTGAGAGAGGCTTTGAGTTGCCTGTGAAAACGCTCAACAAGCCCATTGGCTGTCAGATGGTATGCTGTAAGATTAGTGAGAACAAGAAAGAGTGCTGACTCAAATTGTCTACCCTGTCTGTAGTAAGAGTAGTTGGAGCACCAAACACCGCTACCCATATGGCCACAAAAGTACGCGCTACAGTATCCGCAGTGATATCTGGGATAGGTATAGCTTCCGGGTATCTGGTGTAACGATCTACACAAGTAAGAAGGTACGTGCTACTCTCTGAAGTAGGAACTGGGCCTACAAGATCGATGTGCACATGAGAGAAACGTGCATCAGGTGAAGTAAAAGTGCCAAGCGGAACTTTTGCATCTCTGACATTCAATACATGTTCTGGCCCATTTCCTGATATCATGATTAATACCTGGCCAAACGAAACGTTCCGTCACGAGCTTTTGAGTGGCCCTGATTCCAGGATGGGAAAGTCCAAGGAGGGCGTCAGAAATAGCTCGTCTGTGTTTGACTGGAACAATGGGTCTAGCAACACCTGTCAAAACATCACATAGCATGGTAGTAAGAGAACCAGGAAGCGATATAGACTTGAGTTGAAGCGAGGAGTCTTATACTTCACCGTCATCAACTCTGTCGATACACAGACGGGAGAGAGCGTCTGTCGCTGTGTTCTCCCTTCCTGCTATGTGGTGTATCTCAGATGTGTATTGAGATATGACATCAAGCTGGCAGATTTCACGAGGTGAGTGTCGGTCCGGCTTTGAATTCAAAGCATGGGTGAGAGGTTTGTGATCCGTGTAGATGGTAAATGTGCGACCTTCAAGTAGATGTCGAAAGTGCTTTACACTGAGGTAGGCTGCTAATAGTTCCCGAACGAAAGTGCTGTACTTAGTCTCGGCAGGCTGTAGTCTCTTAGAAAAGAAAGCCAATGGTTTCCAAATACCATCTACCAGCTGTTGAATAGTTCCTCCGACTCCCACACTAGATGCATCAACCAACAGGCATAGAGGAACATCAATTCTAGGATGAACTAGAACTGCAGCGTTAGCTAACTGATCTTTAGCTTGATTGAAAGCAGAAAGTTCTTGTTCTCCTAGGGTGATTGGTTGGTTCTTCTTCGATTTATTTTTCAACAGATCTGTGAGAGGTTGGAGTACTTCTGCACACCGTGGAATGAACCGCTGTAGAAATTGATCAGCCAAAGAAACTCTCGTAGTTTGGTAAGTGATGTAGTAATCGGAAAATTACGGATGATCTTCACCTTGTCACTAAGTGGCTGAATTCCTTATGAGTCAACTGTATGTCCTAGAAAGGATAGTAAAGGTACTCCGAACTGACATTTGGCGGGGTTGAGAATGATTCGATACTCTTGCAGGCGGTTAAAGAGTAGACGGAGATGTGTCTCATGCACGTCTTTGGTAGTACTACCTACCAGAATATCGTCTAGATAAACATAGAGGAAGACCGCGGTTGACATCATCCATTAATCTTTGGAATGTCTGAGCTGCATTGCGGAGGCCAAACGCCATCCTTACAAACTCGAATAATCCAAAAGGAGTGGTTATAGCTGTCTTGTGGATATCGCTAGGCTCGACTGAGATCTGATGATGTGCCCTGATGAGATCAATCTTTGAAAAGATTATCTTGCCACTAAGTGACGCAGAGAAATCCTGCAAATGAGGAATAGGGTATCTATCAGGAATAGTACGAGCATTAGGCATGCGATAATCTCCACAAGGTCGCCAGTCCCCTGGTGTCTTCTTCGGAACCATGTGCAGGTGACTTGACCAGTTCCTATCAGATTGTCTGATAATGCCAAGTTTAAGCATGTGTTCAAACTCTGCCTTGGCAATCTGCTGCCGATCTGGAGCAAGCCGACGAGGGCGGGCTGAAGCAAGTGGGCCTCGAGTGTGGATATGGTGGGTGGTTGTATGCTTGACTTCTGAGTGCTTGTATACTGGCCGGGTGATGTCAGGATACTCACGAAGAAGGGAGTGGAAACGCTCCGAAGTATCTTGCTTGACATACACCGGGCTAATGATGCCTGTGTATGTACCGACTCCCTGTACTGTAAGAGTGGTGGTGGTGTCTATCAGCCGTCGATGTTTGATGTCGACTAATAGTCCATAGTTATCAAGGAAATCAGCTCCCAAGATAGGTGTAGGTATGTCCGTGACAACAAAATCCAACGAAAAACTCGCCGCAACCCAAGATCAAGAGTGAAAGGTCTTTGGCCAATGGGTGACTTGTTAACTTCGGCCCCAGTATCAACAAGGAAACGTGTGCCTGATTGTTTATTGTGAACAAAGAAAAGGCGACTGGGTTGAATAGTGCCAAGTGAATTAGTCGCCGCTATTCCTTGGCGGGCCCGTTTCCCTTGACATATCCAGGGCGGCTCCGTCCTGCAGAGTATGAGCAAGGACTTATGCACTTCTGGGCTTGTTTGCCATGCTTCCAGTGGTACCAACATTCAGCCCCAGCATGCCGATTCGGGCTACGGGAAGCTGATTGGCGATGTCCGGAAATCTTCGGGCCTCGCTGTCGACTGCGACTTCTGTGATACTCCTGTAGAGAACAAGTCAAGGATAGTTGAGATACCTGGGTAGAAAGTCGATGCACTTCTGCAGAGTCATTGGGAATGGCGCAAGCGTAAGTCTGCGCTGGTACCTCTTTAGGTAAAACATGAGAAATAATAGGCGGACCAGCAACTTCAACAATTTTGTCTGCTAATGCCGCCAGCTCAACCAAGCTAACATAATCGCTTGTCGAAGCAAGAATCAGCTGTACATAGGTTGGGAGGCGTTGCAAAAATAATTGCTTCAGTATACTAGTCTCCAAAGTATTAGAGCCTAATAATTGGGGGTTTATTCGCTATATTCATAAGGACCGTTATTCATAAGGACCACAATTCATAAGGACCGCTATTCATAACGTGGAACTTTCCATACCTGCAGGTCCGCTATTCATAATGGGAAAAGAGGGTCACTATTCATAAATAAATAAAGTTTGTTATTCATAAGGACCGCTATTCATAATGTGAGATGAGGGTCGTTATTCATAAATCATATTAAGGGTCATTGGTCGTAAGGACCGCTATTCATAATATGAAATCAGGGTCGCTATTCATGATACGAAATGAGGGTCGCTATTCATAATACAAAATGAGGTTCATTACTCATAAGGGTAGCTATTCATAATACGAAAGAAGGGTCGCTATTCATAATTTGAATTTGAATTTGAATTTGAATTTGAATTTATTAACAACAACACATCACAATAATGACAGATAATAATAATAATACTGATACATGTATACATAACATAAGAGTAATGTCGATTGAACAGTAATGGTTCTAAAACAATATTTTGTAGACATACATCTGCATACTATTAAATGTACAAAAGATATATACTTAAATATGCATATTACTATGTTTAGGTGAAGTTGTTAATTGGAACTAGAAGTTAGCACAAGTGCTAGTCGAGCCTAGTTCCATTCTTTGGCAAGTTTTTTTCTGTTAATTTGTTTTTACATATGAATGTAAAACTTGTTTGTTTTGTATTTACATATATACAGCAAAATAATACAATATCATGTAACTTTTTTTCTTTACTAAAATGAAAAAATAAAAAATAACAAAGCTTAAGCGTAAAGCATTATAATGAAAGAAAACAAATCTTTGAAGAAATAAAATCATCAATGTGTTCATAAAAATGAAAAGGATGTATTAATAAAAATAATCATACTCATGTACGTACATGCACAAATCCTGTAAAAGCTTAAGGCCGATATAAGTGTATACATATATAAAAGGAAGACAAGGAAGACAAGTAATATAAAAGGAAGGGGTGGGATTGAGCCCATGTCATTTACATAGAAGGTAGGTGGAAAGATGTCTCCGAAAAGATAACCTTGATGTTTTTAATCTAATTTCATCTGGCAGATCATTCCACAGCTTTGTTCCTACAAACGAAATACAAAATTGCCCTTGCGTTGTCTTACATTTTGGCTGATAAAGTAAGCCACTTTCTTTTCTCCTAGTTGCATATCTATGCTGTATCATCTGACAATAATCCACTAAAGAGTGTGGTAAAAAACCTTTTACCAAATCGTACATAAATGTTGATACAAGAAGTTCATGTAGTTGAAAAATATTTAAAATGTTTAGACTTTGGAAAAGAGCTTTGGAGTCTGTTCTAAGTGGACTGAATGTAATTGCTCTCATTGCCATTTTTTGACTTAAATATATACAATTTAGATTACTTTTGTAAGTGCTCCCCCATACTTCTACTCCATAAGAGAGGTGAGGCTGTATAAAAGCCTTATATAATAACACAAGTATATTCTTGGGAACAAAATGTCTCAGTTTAAACAGAATACCTACTTTCTTTCTTATGCATTTGTTTATCGTCTGAATGTGTTCTTTCCATGAAAGGTGACAATCAATTTCAATTCCTACAAATGATGCAACAGATACCTCTTTAATATTTGATCTTGATATTCTCACAGATCCCTTTTTGTCTACTGATCTAGCTTTGGATTTCATAATCATATAGTTTGTTTTCTGTAAGTTAATGGTGACTTCATTTGCATTACACCATTCCTGCACCTTCATTAAATTTTCACTTACAATTTCTAAATCAATTTCTTTTTGTCTAGGATTAAAAGTATGAAAAAGATTTGAGTCATCAGCAAATAATCTGAAATTGAAAAAGTTTGTGGAGTTAGGTAAGTCATTTATATATAGTAAAAATAATGTTGGTCCAAGAACGGAGCCTTGAGGGACACCACATGTTATATTCAATTTCAAAGACATTTTGTCTTTATATTGTATAAACTGTGATCGTTTACACAAATAATCTTCAAACCATTGCAAGGCTAACCCACGTATTCCATAGTGTGACATTTTTTTGAGGAGAATGCTGTGGTTTATAGTATCAAATGCCTTTTGAAAGTCAATAAAGATGCCAACTGTTGTTCTACATTCATCAATGTATTTCAATAGTGTATTTGTAAGATTAATCAAAGATAACTTAGTGCTATGTTTCTTACGGAAACCGTACTGGTGTTGAAACAAAATATTATTTGCTTCCAAATAGTCAATTACACGATTATTTATTATTTTCTCAAAGATTTTACCCAGTATAGGTAAAACTGAAATAGGTCTGTAATTACCAGCTAGATCTTTTCGCCCCTTTTTATAAATAGGTGTCACTTTTGCTACTTTCAGTGCGTCTGGAAATTTACCTCTTTCTATGGAAAGATTGAAAATATATGTTAATGAGCTTGAAATGTATAGGGCAGCATCCCTCAACAATCTTGCCGGCAAATTATCATAGCCACATGCTTTTTTTGTATCTAAAGTCTGTAAGTGGCATTTCAATTCATTCTCTGTTATTGGTTTTAAAAATAGTGATTTTTCTGTTCTATATCCTAAATATTCTGTAAAGTCAGAATTCACTGGTGGTATTTCCTTTGCCAGCTTTGGACCTATGTTTACAAAAAAGTTGTTAAATTCGTTAGCTATTTCATTGTCAGAAGTTATCACTCTATTTT